CATGAGCTTCGGACGCCTTTTGTGTGACTAATATGTTATTTCATTTAAGTGACAACCAGTTTTGAGAAGTAATATTGATTAACAAGATAACATTTTATTTAAAAAAAAACATGGGTTGTCATAACTGTCACAATTTGTTATTGGATTCTGAAATTGAATGCATTGATGACTTATCATTAAATCAGTGTTGTGCAGCTCTTTAGGTCATGTATAGGCTGTATCAGGTTGCAAATGTTTGAAGTTATGCTATTGACATATAATGCAGCATTTTGATATGAAGCTCAGTACATAATGGTGTAGAAGAGTATAATAGGAAGGTAATGAAGCAGAATCTTGTTTATTCGTCCTCAGCATCATTTTCATCAGACGTTGTTGACATGTTCTCAAGGTTTGATGTGGCAAACTGTGGGAAAAGAAGTCATTAACAGAGAAGGAAGAAATGACATTTTAAGTGGGCATAAAAACTTCACAAAGGTGTATGATTATTGCTCTAGTGTGTCAATGTAAATTTTTGCGTTTTGACTATCAATGGTAATTGCCTTTCTTGTCTAATTGTAGTTGTGATTGAATTTAATTGCAAACTACACGAGTTGAAACTTACTGTTTTGCACACCTCCAACATATGATTAACAAAGACTCTGTTTTGTTGTGAGTTCTGTGAAATATAGGAAAGATAATTTGTCTGTAAAATGATGTGATCCACCTTAACCCTTCAACCACTAAGAGTGACTAACATCTAATTTCTCCTAACAACATCACCCTTGAACCAAACATTAAGGTCGTGAGAATAAAGGATATGATCACCAACTAAAGAAGCTCTTGATTCTTGAACAAATTCTCCTTGTCAGAACCCTGGGAAATGTCTAGGAAGTAGTATGGAGATTATTCATACTGATGCTAGGGAGGAGAGGGTTAAATACATACTTATAGTTGACAAGATCTACAGAAGAAACCTGCTTTTTAGATTAAATTTGTGATGTCATTATATAATCTTTTAAAAAATGATCAAATGAATACACAATTAAGGTGTTACACGATGTTGAATTGGGTTTTTCAATGTACCAAAAGTTCACTTTACAGTGTAGGTTTTAAAGAATTTTGTTATTTCCCTTTAACCCCCATGATCCAGTGAAAAAGACATAATTTCTCCTTACAAAATCAATGCAATACCAAGCAGACAACAAATGAGAATAAAGACAAATATTAATCAGAAGATTATTACTTGATCCAATATCAAATTCTCCAAACTAACTGAACATCAAAAGAACTGTATGACAGTCAGTTAGGAGGGTTGCCAATGAGATCCTCGGAGTTAAAGGGTTAAGATTGTATTTTCTATTGGAAATATTTGAAAAGTGTTACCATTATTTAGCTCTATTGGTAATCTTCAATTCTAGGAATCAATTAAGAAAAATTCACTTATCATGGCTGGTGATTGGCACAACAGATTACCAATGGAATTGAGTTGGGTGTGAATGTTTGATAAATTTTGAATCATTACTATTAATGATTACTTAATTTTCTCAAATTGATCTAGAAATGAACTGAAAGGCAACTGTGGCATCTAAAATGTTTCCACAGAAATGTTTTCACAAACAGCTGATATGGTGAGTGTTAAGAACATAAATCCTACTTGAAATGAACTGAACTGTCTTGCAACAGTATTATTTGTTTATTTTAAGCAGAATTAAGCAGTAATTTACAAGCTATTTTATAACTATATTCTTACAGTGCCATTGTACATTTCTTCTCCTCATTGCTGCCTGTGTAGCATTTTCTGCAAAAAAAAATTGCATTCAAGTCTAAATACTTAAGTTAAGTTTCTTTTCAATGAAAATTTCAATTGACAGACATCTTGCAGATTTTTTGGATGTTTGGTGTTCTATGATTGGATTAAAGGAAAAAACTCTATAAGTTGGAGTTTTTGTGTGTATGTGTGTTGTGGGAAGAACTGTTTTCAGGATGTTCATGATGTTCATGATGTCACTGCTGAACGAGTGGATGTTCTGTGTTATGTGTAAGTAAGGAACTATGAATTAAAATGTATGATCATTCTGTTAGGATTGATAAGATTTGATCAAATTTCGTAGGCTGGGTATGGTACATAAATATGTATCCATCAATTTGGAGCTTCAACATCCCCCTATCACAGCAACCTCCTCAGGCATTTGAAGTTTTGAAGATTAGTTTGTTCCTGGGGCCAAAGTGTTGTTCAAATTCCCTACTCAAAGTGTTGGATTTAATAGTTAATTTTTGTAAAAGGCAATTGATAGTTTGTGCTATTTTTCTGTTTCCCAGTACCAATGATTTATAGTTAACATTATAAAATAATTCAAATAGCACGCATGCTCTGATTGGCCATAAAACCATTTTACATGAGCATATGTAAACACGGTTTTCATACTGAATCTTCTCGCGGAGTTCTCCCTGCTTTTTATACAGCAGTAACTCAGTTTCTTTAAGTTTTTTTTGAGTACGGTAATGGAAGAAGATTTTCCTAATTTTTCTTTGGAGTTTAATTTTCCCAGTATTCAAGAAACGGCCAAAAAGCCAAATGAACAACAACAACAAGCATCTCGCTTTCCTTCATTGCAAGAAGAGGCTTCACATTGTGGTTTCCTACGCTTATCTCGTGTTCTCCCAACCTCCCACGTGTTTACATCAGGCTATGTAAACATGGAAATCATTTTACATTTCTTCATTTTTAATTGTTTGATACAACAACACAGGTGATTTGGGTTCATGAGAATGACAAGTGAATTTATGAACAAAATAATACAATAATTGTTTGTGCTAGCAGTAGTTAGTGGGTTTTAGCAGTTGTGGTTCATGTTTTAGGCATAAATGACCTTTTATCTTCACTAAGGTTTTAATCATTATGCTAAACTTTGCAGAACTTTTTTTCTGAGTTGCCCCAAGTTGAAAGGGGCATTTTAAAAGTTTGAATTTATTGGTGCATTACCTCTGTTCCTATCTGCTAGTTGTTTGCTGTTCATTTGTGCTACAGCATTTGCAGCAAATTCTGTAAAAAAGTAATAGTCAGTGATATCAATTCAATATCAAAAAGATGATTAAGGAAATCAAATAAAACATCAATTACAGCACAATTTGTTGATCAAATACAAAATTCTCCAACAAACCAAGATTGTTATTTTCCTGCATATAACTTACAACATATTTTGTAACGAAATGTGAGAAATATGCAGTCAGTAATAATAAAATGGACAACCATATTTGTGGCATATTACATAGAGCATTTAATCATTAGAAAGTTAATTTGCGATGTAATTAGAGAATTTGGATCATGTGTACTATAGGTGGACTCGGTCGACATATCGGTCGACTGTCGCCCGATATA